AGATGGTGTAAGAAGGCAGGACCTGTCAGATGAGAGGCAGTTTCTCTAATTCTATGAGCCTTTGAGGCTGCTCCATTATCATTCCTTAAGAAGTAGTGTGTTATGTCACTTGGTGAATTTAATAATTCCTGTGTTTCCATTAGGCTGGGACAACAGTAACCTTAATTCTGTACAAGTACAACAGCAATTACAACTAGAGAATAAGGACGAGTAGGAGGGTTTATATGAGTAGCTTGGAGAGTTTTCTTGAGCACGTGGGTTTTGGACTGGGTTTAAGGAAGGGGTATGTTGTGAATCGTGCAAACGGGTGTGTCATTAAAATGATTCCTTCAGAGTGTGTTCACAGCCCAGTCACATCTCACCAGCTGCACCACTCCCACCAGCATTTCTCACGTGCAGTAGTAATGACCTTCTCCCTGCTTTCCACACCCTTGCTCTTCTGCACTCTGTTTTCTCCAAGAAGCTTTTAAAAATGTAGGTCAGATCATCACTTCAAAACTCTCCTGTGGCTCTCCAAGGCAACAGTAAAAGCTCCGTAGGATCTTCCCGGACTTCATCTTAGCTTTCCACCTTTTGCTTCAGCAACTCTAGCCACACTGTCCTCCTCCTGCTCCCTGAACCTGATACGTCACCATCTCAGCTCAGAGCTTTTGCGTCTGCAATTCCCTCTGCCCAGACACCCCTATGGCTCACTTCCTCATATCCTCAAGGAGTTTTCTCCATTGTCACCGTATTGAAGAGGCCTTTCCTGATGGCCCTGCCCCCAGTCACTCTCTAACTTCTTTGCTATTTTATTTTTTTCTTCATAGCACGTATTACCTTCTCCCATATGACATAAGCTTTGTTTATTCCTTATCTCAGCCCCGTGCAGATGTTAAGTTCCTGAAGACAGAAGAGCCAAAATGAAATAATCAGCAGGTTTAAGGGTCTACTTTTTTGGGGGGTCACTGTAGCGAGAACCATGCCTGGTATAAAGTAGGATTCAAGAAATATTTGTTTACTTAATAAATAATTGATGTAAAACAGCCATGCTAAAAATTCTAAGGGAAAAATGAAGTGTGAGGGACCTTTTGAAAATTCAGTCTTGATCTGAGAGGTCCCTGATTCATTCCTAGATTTTGGCATCAAAAAAATGAAAAAATTTAGTCTTGACTAGAACTAAGGGAACCAGTAAATAAGAGGAAAGGGAGGGAAAAATGGCACTGTGTATATCTTCATCTATTGTCAAATTACAGAGATTGGGAGACCATCCTATGCTTTAAATACCACTTCTGTCTGTCTGTTGGGTCCGTTACAGTGTGAGTATGCTACTGTTTCAATAATAATGAGTTTGAACCCCTGGTAAGTAAACAGCCAAACACACAGTAAGGAAAAGAACGTGATGGGGATAGAATGTTCTTTTTAAACAATGGCATAGTTCTGTGTTAACACCTGTTTCATCACCTTTAAATTTGTTGCCAATCTTAAGGTTTTCATTTTTGAAGGAAAACTGTGTTGATAATCTTTTAGAGGCTTCAGGGAGAGCATTTGTTTCCTTAGGATCTGCTCCAGGAATATTAGAGAGAGAATACTGGAAAGTTTAAAGACAAGCCAGTTAAAAGAAAGGGCACGATGTCCTAAAATTTTTAGTTTCATAAACATCTTTTATTCCTAAAGATCCCACAGTATTTTATTTGCTGATATTTAAAAGTTTTTATGCCCACTCCAGGCTGACTATAAATCACTTTTCCTCAAATTTAATCTCCCTTTAAAATGATTTCTCTCTTCTCTTTTGATGAAACTATACATTTCTTCTTTCCAGAACATTCTTTCTGCCAGTTCATTAATTTCTCATTGCATCATTCCATGTGTGTGTGCTGAGCACCACTATCATCGTCATCAGAAGGCTGCTGCATCAGCATAGCTTCCCATTTAATTCTTAAAACTGTCTGTGAGCTAGGTGTTTATTGTCCTCTTATACTCAGATGAAGTTGATTAAATTGGAAAATTTAGTAATTTGCCTAAGAACAATTAATCAGTAAGTGACAGAGCTAGGATTCAAATCAGGTATGTTGTACTATGTGGTCCATGATCTTTCTAGCATACCACGTTCCTTCCTCAAGAGGCCAAGTGGCCTCGGGCATCTCCCCAAAGCTCTCCAGTTGTCAGTTTCCTTATTTGTTTAAAAAAAAAAACAAACTGAGTCTGATGTTCTGTCAGGTCCCTCCCTCCTTGCCCACCACTCTGTTTATGACTTTTATGATTGGAAATAATAATGGCTACCACTATTGGGTTAAATTCTTTACAAACATAACTTATTAAAGTCGGTAACTGTATCAGTATGATATTGTTATCCCCAAGTTTCAGGTAGGATTTAGAGTATTTAAGCCACTTGTCAAGGCCTTCAGGTTTTCAGATGCAGAACTCCTATGTGAACCCAAGTTTGGGATCATAACAACACTGCATTATTATATACAGTTTCTGCATCATTTTTTGTATAAGTGTAAACTTGACAAATGTGAGGAGAATCTACTTGTTTCTAATTCAGCAAATATTTATGAAGAAGTGAGGGTAGGTGAGGTTGATTGCAGCCTTTGGCAAAGGGCCTTCTGCACCAGATGAAAGCCTTTACCTTTTTTTTAACCATTCAATCTTCAAATTCGCCCACATAATTGCATATAGTTCATATTTTTCACTTTTGTGTAATGTTTCATTGTGTAAATATACCACAATTTACTTATTCGTGCCTCTGCTCTGGGAGATTTTTTTTTTGTTTCTAGACTTTTGCTCTTACAAACTGTACTATTATAAACTTTCTTATAAATTATCTACTGGTGCAAATCTCAAAGACAATATAAAGCACAGTGCTATTTTTATGAAGCTCAAAAATGAAGAAAACTTTTAAAGGATGTTCCACCATGCATGTATGGGTAGGACTATGCCAACGCAAGGGAAGAAGTAATAAACACAAAATTTAACATAGTGATTTTTTTAAGGGGGAGGCAGGTAGACAGGAGACAGGGGAGGGAAGGAGCACAAAGGATGGATGCAAGTTTACAGATAATGTTGTAGTTCTTGATTGGGTGGTCTGTTCATAAGCAAGTTCATATGTATGTTCATAAATAGGTATTAATTAAATAAATTTTCTATTTTAGAATAATTTTAGATTCACAAAATTATTACAAAGATAGTAATATCCCATTATAAAAATCTTACCTGTGGTACATTTGTCACAGGGAGTGAACCAGTATCGATACATTGTATTAAAGTTCATCCTTTATTCAGACAGATTTCCTTAGTTTTTACCTAATACTCCCATCCAGGATACCGCAATACATTTAGTTGTCATGCCTCCTTAGGCTTCTCCCAGCTGTGAAAGTTTCTCAGGCTTTCCTTGTTTTTGATGACCTTAACAGTTCTGAGGAGTTTCATTGAATGTCCCTCAATGGGAATTGGCATTTTTCTCATGGTTAGACTTAGGAGGAAGATCAGGGTGGTAAAGTGGCACAACACATCCTATCAAGGGCATGGACTATCAACATGACTTACCACTGTTGCTGTTAATTTTGATCACCTGGCTGCAGTAGTGATGGTCAGTTTCTCTTCTGTTGTTACTCTTTTTCCCCCTTTTCATACTGTCCTCTTTGGAAGGAAGCTGCCATGTGGCCACACTGAAGGAGTGAGGAGTTACACTCCACCTCAAGAATGGAGTATCCACATAAATTATTCAGAATTCTTCTGCAAGAGAGATTTGTCTCTTCTCCCTTATTTATTTATTTGTTTGTTTGTTTATCTGTTCGGTTAGATCAGTATGGACTCATGGCTGTTCATAGTTTGGATTACAGTCCAACACTACTTATTATGTTGCTCAAACTCTTCCAGTTTGGGCCTTGGGGAGTACTTTTAGTTGGCTCTTTTTGTCCCTTTGACATACCCTCATTATTGTGACGTTTTGGGGACTTTTGTTTTTGTTTTTCTGGCACTTCCTGAATGTCTGGCCCTCCAGGATGCCCCAGACTCATTTTGTATATTCCTCACCCCAGCCCTGGAACCAGCCATTTCTCTCAAGGAGCCCCTGGTTCTTTTCATTGGAGAATGTTCGCCAAGATGTGGATGCTTGGTGTGCTCATTACTGCTTGCATATTGTTGCTTCTAGGTCCTCCCCATTGACAGAGCAAGGAAATATGTCTGTGTATGCTAACCCATGTATACACATATATCTGTAAATATTTTCATGTGTAATCCTCCATATTAAACTGAATGTGAGTTCATACTGATTCAGCTCTAATTTCCATGTGAGTCATTCTAGGTTTTTACTGTTGCTTATAAGTAACCTGGGTCTCTGACAGTGAGAAACCTGGCTCCCACCATCTGCCATAAATTTATGTAATTACTCTATTTCAGGGTACATATATAATGGTTTCAAATTTGTCCATCTATCCCTGGTGAGAAACAACTTTATCAACTAGGATATAATTCTTATACACAGTTCCCTTTTAGTCTTGTAGACTACTTTTTTCCAAGGTTACTTAGTTCAGCATTTTATTTCTACACCCCCTTCAGTGAGGTGGTTTCATACATTTTTAATACACTTAGATTCTGTCACTTTCTGCATTCCATCCTAGGATCCCTTGATCTTCTAGTTGATTTTTTTTGACTTACACACTTTAAAATTTACTTCATGATATAAAGCTCTATGGATTTTGACAAATGCTTCATGTCTTGTATCTACCACTACAATCTCATACAGAATAGTCTCACCTTCATAAAAAATCCCCCATGTTTTATTTACTCAACTCTTCCATGCCTGAAGCCCTGACAAACACTAATTGTTACTCTCTATTTTTACCTTTTCCAAAATATCACATACTTGGAATTATACAGTATGTGGCCTTTTCAGACTAGCTTCTTTTGGGGGAGGAAGTAGTTTTATTTGTATATATATTTGTGTATGTGTGTATATATATATATATATTATATATATTACATATATATTTTTTTAATGAAGATACTGAGGATTGAACCCAGACCTTGTGTATGCTAAGCACACATTCTAACTGAGCTATATCCTTCCCCCTCTGACTAGCTGCTTTTATTTAGCAATACGCATTTAAGATTGATGCTTGTCTTGTGGTTTACTAGTTCATTCCTTTTTATCACTGAATAATATTCTATTGTGTGGCTGTGCAACAGTTAATTCAACTGTTGAAGGACATCTCGGTTGCTTCCAGTTTTTTACAATTGTACCAAAGTTGCTATAAACATTTGCATATAGGCTTCTATAGGAATGTAAGCTTTTACATCAATTAAGCAGTTATCTAGGAGCATGATTGCTAGGTCTTACATTAAGACTGTATTTAATTTTGTAAGAAACTGCCCAACTGTGAGGGTACAGTTGTGCATTCTCACCATCAATGAATGGGAACTCTTTTTGCTTTGCGTCTTCACTAGCAGTTGGTGGTGTTTGTTTTAGACTTTAGCCATTACAATAAATGTGTGGTGATACTTCCTGGTTGTTTTAATTTGCAGTTCCCTAATGTCATGTGATATGGAGCACAGAGTGGTTTCCCATTTAATGAGGTGCCATTCAGATCTTCTGCCCATTTTTTAAAAATCACATTGTTTATTTTCTTTTTCTTTCTTTTTTTTTAGAGGCTATACTTCATATATATTGCATATATTCTTTTGTGTGTGTGAAATAATATGATAAAACATTAAAACAAAGAGGAGCAGGAAAAAACTTTGTGCTTTGTGCTGTAGATGGGATGACTGATTAAGAATTCAGGCTTGCAGGGAGAATATAGCTCAGTGGTAAAGCATGTGCTTAGCATGCACAAGGTCCTGGGTTCAATCCCCAGTACCTCCATTAAATAACTAAATAAATCTAATAACCCTCCCAAAAAATAAATAAATAAATAAATAAACAAACAAAAAAAAAAGAATTCAGGCTTAACTTCAAACTTCACCCTTCTATGTATTTGCCTTGTGACTTTGGGGAAGTTATATAATCTCTTGGGGCCTCAAATTCTTCATAGTGAAAATGAGAATGTTATTTCTCACTTTTTTTTTTTTTTTTTGGTGAGAATTTAATGAAAACGGCTGGGTTAGGTAGAGATCAGTAAGTAGAGACTTCGCATATGTGCTGCAAAGGAGATGTTTAATAAATGGTGGTTTCCATACCCCCAACCATAGAAAGTTTACTCATTCATTAAATAAATATTTGTCAAGTGCCTATTTTGTGCCAGGAACTGTTCTGTGCATTTGGGATACATCCATGAGTCTCTGTGTGGTGGAATTTTTAGTCTTTTAAATTAGAGTGTGATATTTACTCATAATTTAGAAAATTAACTTGTAGAAAAAGACCAAAAAGAGAGAATTAAGTTAGTAGACTCCTCTGAAAGTTCAGATAAGAGGTTATAAGAACTCAAAAGATAGAATTGGGAATGGAGAGAAGAGAACAGCTGAAAAAAATGTCTCAGAAGTGGAATCCAATAGACAAGGCGATTACTAGGTGCTATGGGTAAAACGGAGTGTGTTAACAATGACTGACTTTTTCTAAATGAGAGATTATAGAATACTGGTTTATAAAGGAGCAAAATCTCTTAGAATGTTCTGATAATCAACACAGCTTGAAACATACACACAGAGACTGTCCCTAGCCAAAATTTCTTTTGTAAAAGTCTTCGAGAAGTGCTGATTCCCTAGCAGAAACATCTGAAGAGAAAACTAAACACTCAAGTCAAATGGGAAACCTTCAAGATGAGTCTGCTGGGCTCATTAGACACCAAACATTTACTGCATCGGTTCTAATAATTGTATTGCTGAGCATTTTAAGAGACAGCACAATGCTCTTCCTTGTCTAATAAAGTTAGAATGTAAATTTTCGCTCAGTGGCATGGTTGGCTCAGCAGCAAAAAGAACTGCACGATTTCATCTCCAGTTCTAAGTTAAGCAGAGCCGAGAGATGATTCCCCTGTGTGTTTATAAGGAAGAGTTAAATCCCTCTCAGTGTAATGTAGCACCAGATCGAAGTAAACAGACTATGATTTCAGTGCTAGACACAGCCTTAAGGCAGAAGAAATTACACTGTCATACAGAGGATATGTAGCTGCTGCTATTTTGGTGCTTGAGTTCTTTGTTGTCACATAGTTGAAGGCAATCCAGATGAAGAAAAGTGTTAACCAACAAAAGGAGAAATTTTCCTGCAGATGGCTAGGGGGATGTGGGGGAAGAGGGAAGATGCAGTGCAATGCCGTCTAAGCATACCAGTAAAGGGTTCATTCCAATAACTGCTGGCTTCAGCTCATCTCCTTGTTCTTATTAAAAGCAAGTTGTTCACAAGGACAAAGTGCAAGCTAAACTTTAAAAACGATATTTCGTCACACTGTTTATCTGCCATTGTAGACTCAAAACCATGATTGCTTCTTTAATTGAATTAGCTTCAGGTTGCTTATAAAATAAGCTTGGGAAAAAGTGGAACACCACTTTCTTGGTATCTCCAATACTGTGAGGGTGTTATTTAAGATACATTATTTAAGAAGCATTATAATATATACCTCTGTATGTCTGTATCTTTAGATGTATATATAAACAAGGCAGTTACCTTTAAAATCAAAGGACTAATTCTGAACAGATTAGACTAGATATATGTTTCAACATTCAAAATGGAAGGTAAAGAAGATTAAAATGTAAGATGGATTCTATAGTCCCATCAATATGGTAGATTTTATATTCCCACTACTACGGTGATTTTACCCATTGCTGAGTGTGTCTGTTCCAGTTATGCATTCCAGAAATAGGAAAATAACTTCAGATTGGGTGTGGAGACCCACTGTGAGACAGACCTGAGCTAAAATTCCATTGACCTTCTGACCTCCATAAGTCCCTACCCTGATTGGTGGACCACAGAGTCTTTTTGATCTCTGGGTATCCGTGTTAGTTCAGAGATACCATTCAGTAATCTCTAAAAGGTCTCGAATTTCCTTTTCCCCATTGCACAGTTACCCAGGTAAAAGACCAGTGGTCCCTTTGGGGAAGGCTGGGAGAAAAAAAGAATATAAATATGATGTAATATAGAATTTTAATTGAAAGGTAATTGAGTATGAAAGTAGTAGCCTATAAAAACAGATGGGAGACCAAACTGAAATCGTCTTTTCCAAAATAATTACTAAAAACAAGACATGTGAACTAGTAGAGAAAGGTGTAGGATAAATTTGGAAATCATCTTAGCATTAGAATGATGAGCAGCTTGTATAACTGTAACATAGCTGCAAATAAAAATGCAAATTCAATTATGTGGTAATGAATTAACTCAAGAAAACCATTCAATGCATGGTCCATGCCATTTACATGATCTTCCATCATGGAAGAGTATTCTCTCCTGGTGATCTGTTTTGCCTTCAGTGTTCACTGATTTTTTCCATCTAGCCTCATTGATCTCTTCCACAGTTACATGAACTAATCAAATTCCTGTATATTTCTGAACTTTTGTGAAACTACTCCTGACCAGTTCTATTTAATACCATCCAGCTAGACTGTATTTTCTAGAATACTAAATTGTTCACATCACTCCTTATTCAAAAAAATCCCACATCCCCACTGGCAAAATCATTTGCTAGTCAGAAGCTAAGGCTTTGGCTCCTTTGCTAATGAGCAGGTCTCTTCTACTTTGTGAGCCTCCTGATCCAAATACCTAGTTCTCTGGGTTCCTGAGAGACTCAGATGTGATTACAGAGATGTAGAGCATTTAATGTAGACCTGGCTCATGGCAGGCACTCCCAGAGAAGGTCTAGGCTCCTGAATATGGCTGTCCAGATGTTCCACAACTAGGCAATCTGCTGTGCCATCCTCCCCTACCCTCCTCCTCACTTGCATCTATTGCATCCAAACTGGCTCACCTGCCTTTCCCCCAAAACCTGTACATTCCTCCCATGTGGCCTGTCTCCTGCCCTTTATCCACCCATCTAAATTTAGCACATTTTTTTAAAAAATCAATCAAATCAATCCTACCTCTCTCATGACTTTTTTGACTAACCATTCTAAAGTGATCAGTTGCTTCTCCAGACTCCTGGTACACTCCTTAATCTGGTGATTAATCCTCTAATGCCTGAGTCTTCTCTGTTTTTCATTCAAACTGTTATGTATTTTGCATTATTTTTTATGATGAAACTCTCTTACCCTATTTTTAATCTAATCATATGCTTCCTGTGAGCAAGACGTACTTCTTTTATTTCCTTTTGTTCTTCATGAGACTTACTATTAATAGTTACTCAAAATAATACTGAGTTTTAGTCATTCTTTTCTTTATAAATTTGTTTATTCTCAATGCCCATGGAAACAGTGAAGTATATATCATTTTTTTAGATTCCACATATAAGTGATATTGTATGCTATTTCCTTCTCTGACTGACTTCACTTAGTAATCTCTAGGTCCATCTATGTTGCTGCAAATGACATTATTTCATTCTTTTTATGGCTAAGTAGTTTTCCATTGTGTATATATACCACAACTTCTTTATCCAGTCATCTGTTAATGGGCATTTAAGTTGCTTCCATATCTTGGCTATTTAAATAGCCATAGTGCTGCTATGAACATTAGGGCACATGGAATAGTTTCTGAACATACAACCTTGGCAAGCTCTACTCAGCTCCCACACTACTTCTGTGAACTGAAGACTAAATAGCTGAAAAGGAAATAATAACCAAGTTAAGGCAGTTTTCTTTTTGGTTCTTGACTTATTTAGTCTAAGGTAAATAATCTCTATTTGACACATAATAAAACTGCCATTGTATGTTGCTTTAAATAGTCTGTACCTGATAAGCTGTATCTGATTGTACACCTATACTAAATGAATAGACTAGGACACACAAAAAGAAACTTTAGGAGAATTTAGGAGTTTGGTTTAACAAATTTAGATAAAGGTTATGAAGAGGGTCTGCTTCTTAGCCCTGGTGTCTTTCCAGTCTGGGTTTTTAAGCAATCAGCCTTGTTAAGCAACTGTAGTTAACACCTAATGGTGTGTCCAGTTATTAAAGATCTGCTTCATGTTCTATGTCCAGTGAAATACTTGATTATACTGGTGTTAGGGGTAGGAATACCATAGTCAGTGCAGGCAAGCTATGGTGAACCAGGTTTTACTGGTTCCCAGCAGTTACGTTTCTAGGAACATGATGTAACTTGCAGAATAGTCAAATCCTTGAGCTAACAGGTAGTGATATAACTGGGTTTAGTGCAATCATTTTGAATTATTAAGGAAATTTCTAAAGTGTGTTCTTAGTCTGAAATTTGTCTTCCAAGATCTTGGCCAGGGAAGTGCATTTTAGAACAAAACCAAAAAGGACATCTTAGATCCAAAATTGCCTGAAGTTTGTTCAAAGTAGTATAAAATTATATCAAATTAGAAATAGAAATTTGAAATTGTCAAATGTTTTATTGTATGATATTAACTGATATTTGTGGAAATTGAAAAAACTTACTGTTGAAGATTTTACTAAAAAGATATAGACCAATATTTAAAAATATAAGAATATAATGTATCAGATAAGGATAGAATTTTTTTTCTCTAAAAATTGCATCTTTCCTCTTTTGAATTCAGAAGTTAACTAGGTAACTTGATTTAAGATGACCTGTTTCTAAATTCAAATCAAAAGCAGCTTGAGTGGGGAGGGTATAGCTCAAGTGGTAGAGCACATGTCTAGCATACACAAGGTCCTAGGTTCAATCCCCAGTACTTCCTCTAAAAAAAAATTAATAAGTAAACCTAATTACGTGCCCCCTAAAAAATAAATAAAAGAAATTTTTTTTAAAGCAGCTTGGATTGGAAATTGCAGATTTGCAGTCTATCCAAGTTGCATACTTGCAGGAAACTTTTATATATTAAAGACACATATTACATGCTTAATACATTTCATGAATAAATCAGTAAATAGAATGAATGAATAGATAAATGAGTGAACCAGCTGTCAAGATGTTGAGAGTGACAATATAGAATTTACTGTTACTGAGTGAATGATTTTAATGTTTCCAAGTTTCATAGTCATTGTTTATAAAGTAAAAATAATAGATCAACCTTATGTGCAGTGTTGTGCAATATACAACATGCCTAATAGTACCTGGCCCATGGTGGTAAATGTTCCCTACCTCTATGCTGAAAATGTGGTCTTTTTTTTTTTTAATTTAAAAAATAAATAAACAGAAAGAGTAATCTCCTTGCTAGAGCTGAAAAAAGACTTGTGGAGAGGCCAAGCTAATTGATGAACTCCTTATTCTCATGATTTCTATCATCTTGTCTGTGGAGATTGTCTTCTAGAGGAAAATTTCATCCTTTACCTCTCTTCTTGATCACTAACTCCTATTTCTAATTCAAGATTTATGAAAAATGTTGCTCAAAAATATAGGGACACTTACTATGGTTACTGTTACAGAGTTGTCTTCAATCTTCAACAGAATCCTAGAATTTCATGGATTACAAATTGAAAATCAATGACAATCGTTCACTCAAACCTTTATTGAATTTTAACTGTGCTAATTGTGGGAATTGTAAAGATAAATAAGGTGTATACCTGGCCCTGGGGAGCTAATTGTATATAAGAAAGGCTTGTCTAATACTTTAGAAGACATAAAGTACTAGAAGAGAGGCATATATAGAGTTGGAGCAGAGAAACAGCAGACAATTTAGCCCTGGGAATTGAAGAAGCCTTCCTAGAGAAGGTTGCGTTTGCTTTAGAGCCTGGAAAGATGAATAGGCATTTGCCAGGAGGGAATGGGGACTATAAGGATGGGTGTCTAAAGACAGGAAAGCGAGTGTTATAAGTAGCGCTATTAGACAAACCATCATGCTCCTGTGTATCTGGAACAGTGGTTTTCCAAAGGGAAACCTTTTTTTAAAATGAGACCATATATAGAATTCCAAACGAAAAAGAGATCAAAGCAAAGCTGCCTTTTTGAAGCAGGGAGGAAGGCGTGGTATTGCAGCTACCAGCCCTGTGAGCCACCCGTGGTAACACTGGGGACACTCTCAGGGAAGGAAGAAAACTTTGGTGGGAGACCATGTCGACCAGAGCTGGGGCCAGAATACGTCATTTTATGCAGATTATCATCTGAGGGCTTAAGAGTTACAAAACATTTGTAAGCAAGTGAATAGCATCAATGATTTTAGAAAAAGAGCCCTGGGCTCCCTGAAGTGGGTCAGTGTCAAGAGATCAGAGTAGACTGTTCATTGGGTCTTCAGGAGTCCAAATGGCCAAAATGTAGGAACTAATCCGCCTAGATCTGATTTGTGATTTTGGCTCTTTCTCTGCCAAACTACATTTAATCACAGAATGTTAGATTTAAAAGGGACTGTCCATGTGTATTAATTCAACTACCTGCCCAATATAGATGTCACTTTAACAGTGCAGCTGACAAATGATTAGGTCATTACATGACTTAGGATGTTTAGATGACATGAAGGATAACATAGTGGGAAGAATCCCATTCCTTCTTGGGAGCCCTAATTGTATTTAAAACCAGAAATACCAACCAATCGGCAAAACACCTTCCTTTAATTTCCATCTGGAGCAAATCTTCTGTTAAGGGATTTTACCAGGCAGTCTTTGGATATTTACACACATACCTCAAGTCCCTACTTGCCTTTTCTTCTCCAAGCAAATCATTCAGAGTTCATAGGACATAAATTTCAGACTGGTTGCTTTCTCGGTTGCCCTCTGTAGATGCTCTGTATTCTAACTGTGAATTGTTAAAATACGGACTCCAAAGCCGAAGTAAGTTGTTCAGAGGTGAGTTGAACAGTGTAGTATGCAATGAATGGGGCTGATACCTCTCGACTTGGAAGTACTACTTCTTCGAGAAGCATATGATTGAAATAATATTTTAATAGCTAGGTCACTGTGGCTCATATGGAGCCTGTAGTCAACTCAGACCCTATATTGTTCAGTGAGTCTCTTAACCCATCCTGTCCTCAGGCCCTCTAGCTTGACAATAAGGGTCACACCTGCCTCCTGTTTACGGTAATTATGGATAATATGATGTTAAATTAAATTTATAGGCAATGTTGTACTTGAAATTCAGGGTGACCTCGTTGTTGTGCAGGTGGAGTTTTAAGAAAGACAAAAGAACCATTGACAAGAAAGTAATCTGTATCAAAAGCATATTAAATGGCCTCAGGAAAAAAATGTGTTTCCTAGGATTTTGCATTCTGTGACCCTTATTACTTCTGTTGTAGCAATAAAACATTTAGCCTGACTGGTCTATAAATAGATTTTCAATTTATATTGCCAGATAATACACAATTTGATGAGAATGAAGATGGTTTTCCTGAGAGGCTGAGTTAATTGGTTTATATATTTTTGTCTTGTATGTGTCTCAGTTTTTCCCTTGGCTTCTAAGCCTTTGAGGCAAATGTTACTTTCTCCAACAGAATATACTCTTGGCTGACTTCAACAAAGGAGTGACCAAGTCTGCTCCACAGTTTCTGGCAAAGATGCTGCAGTAATCGGAATAAAATAAGATCCTAAGGAGAATCTGGCTCAGACAATAGGAGTTACAGAGTAAAAACAAACACAGATCTTTACTGTTAGCCCTCTACATGCTGGGAGCAGAACACTAGCTGATAGTCACATTTCACTGCATTTCATAAAACTGAGCAATTTCCCAGCATGATTTAGACAAGACCCTCCCCCTTTTTATTGTATTAGTGGCATCCATAAGCTTTTAGAAGATATATTGTGTCCTTTGCAGGTAGCCTACAGAGTTACGGAACATCCTTGTGACACTGAAACTCTGTTGGTTGTGGTAGTAAACTGTTTTGCTCTGAAGATTTAGAAATTGCATTGCAGATACAGTCAGCAGCTCTGCTGTGATCAGTCTTACTCAAATACTGTTTCTCATACTTTGTTCATACTTTGTGGGCGCAGTGGACATGGACTCCAAGCTTTTAGCTGCAGGTTTTTCATTATAAACCTAAGAAAAATACGATTCTTTGACAAAAATTATAAGCACTCTGAAAATTATAGCTGTATTGCCAAGATCCTGTTGTCGCTCTTACGTTGATAGACCTGATACTTGATTTTCTTGTCTCACTGGAACTTTAGGTGTGTTTCATCTGTTTAAGTATGAACTTTCTTTCATTAAGAGAGAGACAGAGTGTATTACTGATATGCCCTTGGCCACTTTAAAAACATGATTAATATCTGCATAATGCCATTAGCTAGGAAAAATGTACCTTTGGTGCCAGACAAGTCTAAGTAAGATTTTAATGCATGATGAAATTTAAAGATAAGAAATGCTGAAAAACAGTTTTAAGTTTTGTCAAAACTCTTCTGTGAATCACAGGAGAATACATTCAAAGAGGGCTAAAGCTGGTGTTTGGTCAGTGAGTTAAACATCCACTTTAAATGATCTATATTTCTTGTTAGAACTTGGAATAAATGGGATACAACTTTAATCATAAAATCCTATAATTTTGCATGCACATTTTATTGTGGTTTCTC